CTGTAACCCCTGGGATATAGTCATTCTTTTCTTCAGCTCTTTGTATTGCTTCAAGAACTCTCTGAAGGGATGGTTTTGTGGACATGAATTCTTTCCACCTATTTATGTCACTGAAGATTTTTACACTGAAAAGTCAGCTGTAATTCTGATGGGTTTTCCTTTATATGTGACTTGTTTTTCTTTTGCAGCTTTCAGTACTCTCCCTTTGTTCTGTATGTTTAGTGTTTTTACTATGAGTGCCAAGGAGAGTTTCTTTTCTGGTCCTGTCTATTTGGTGTTCTATATGCTTCTTGTATTTGTATGGGCATGTATTTCTTTAATTTTGGGAAATTTTCTTCTACAGTCCTGTTGAAGATCTGTTCCATACCATTAACTTGAGATTCTTTTCCTTCCTGTATGCCTATGATTCATAAGTTTGGCTTTTTATGGTGTCACACAGTTCTTGCATATTCCCTTCTTGTGTTTTTTTAAATTTTTCATAATCTTTGCTTGAGTGGCCTAATTTGTCCACTTTATCTTCCAGTCTTGATACTCTGTTTTCCATTTCGTTCATCCTGTTGTTGAGGCTTTCTCCTGTTATTTCTAATTGGCTTACTGAGTGTTTTACTTCCTTCTTCATTTCATCCTGAGTATTCTTCAATATTTCTAACTCTTTTCTGAATTCATTCTTTTATTTCTTTGTGTGTTCTTTAAACTCATTTAATTCTTTTATTATGTTTATAATTGTTCTTTTGAGTTCCAGGTCCTGTGTTATCTCTAGGGAGTTCTCATTGTGCTCCTCTAGAGGACTATTGGTACTTGGTAGGATATATTATCTTAGTTTTTCATGTTATTGTTTTTTCTTTGTGGCTTTGACATGTGAATTTCCGTCCTAGTTTCTGATCCTTATGTGAGACTCAAGCCTTCCTTTGTTGAGTTTAGATCTGCTTCTTTTTGTAAACTTTATGTGCCTTTGTGGTTTACTCGTTGGGCATGAAAAGCTGGTTGGTCTAGGCTTCAGATTCTCTTTCTCTCTTTTGATTTTATATTGGAGTGGCCTAATTGCTTTTGTCTTCAGGAGTTCCCTCAGAGGCCCAAGTGAGATGAGGCTCAGATGCTTTCTCCTAAGGTATGGGTCCCTCCAGGAAAGATGCTGCACTCAAGAATTTGGAGACTGGGCTGGCCTGGGAGAAGGGCTCAGGATAGATGCTGGTCTCAGGAAGCTGGTGGTTGTGCCACCCAGGGAAGTAAAGGGAGGTGATGGTGGGACCAGGCCTAGAAGGTTCCTGGGGGCCACAGGGAGGAAATGGGTTGGTCCCGATACAAAGGATCAGGAAGCAGTGGCAGCTGAGAGGTTAGCCCTGGTGTCTGGAGTGCCCAGACAAGAAACGGGCCTGTATGAAGCTGGGGGAATCAAGGCACACTGGGCACGCTGGACTTACCTAGGGAAGGTGCTGGTACCAGGACACCGGAGGCCTTGCATCCCAGGAAGCAAAGGGATATGAGGGCAGGACCTGGTCCAAAAGACTCCTGGGGATCAGGAAAGGTGCTGGCACCAGACCACCCAGAGGTTGTGTAGCCCAAAGAAGTAAAGGGAGGTGAAGGTGGGACCAGGCCCAGAAGGTTCTTGAGGGCCAGCAGGGAGGGACTAGGTTGGTCCAGATGCAAAGGATCAGGAAGCAGTGGCAACTCTGGGCTGAGAGGTTAGTCCTGGTGTCTGGGGTGCCCAGACAGGAAATGGGCCTGTACCCCGCCTAGGAGGAGAGACTGGGGGGCGCGGCCTGGGAGGGTGAAAGAGGCTGGGGGACTCAAGGCATGCTGGACACGCTGCAATTACCCAGGGAAGGTGCTGGTACCAGAACACTGGAGGGTGTGCAGCCCAGGAAGCAAAGGGAGGTGAGAGTGGGACCCTTTTTATTTAAAGTTTTATTTTTAATTTTGTTTATTTATTTTTATTTTATGTGTATTATACCTGCATGTATGTAAGTGCACCCATGTCATGCAGTGCCCACAGAGGACAGAAGAGAGCGTCCGATCCCCTGGGTGGTTGTTAGCCACCATGTGGGTGCTAGGATTCTAACCCAGGTCTTCTGCAAACACAGCCAGTGCTCTTAACTGCTGAGCCATCTTTCCAGCCCCAGATTATGCTTTTTAAAGCTTGATTTGCTGCAGAGAGAAGGGGGCAGGGAGATCACCAGGGCTAACTGCGTGGTTTGGTTTGGTTTTTTTCAGAGGCTGCCTTGAATCTTGCCTACATCCTAATCCCCAGCATTCCCCTTTTCCTCGTACTTGTGGTCACTTCAGCTGTATGTTGGGTTTGGATCTGTAGGAGGAGGCAAGTAAAACCTTCATCATGTAAACTTTGCTCCCTCTGTACCCTGAGATTTGGATGTTACCCTGTTGACTTCATTAAAAGCCACGGCAACTCCAAGAGAAGGACCATTGCAGATCTGAAGTAAACTTCCTAGCAGACTGAGGACACTGAGGAACACTGAGTATTTGTGCTGAGTTGTGATTAAGCCAATGATCATATGTTCTTTATTTTAAGCAACTTGGAAGGTGAAACAGTGTTATTCACTTCCTGTGTATCTACACATCACCCAGCACAGTGCCCTCATAAGTGCAGGCCGTCATTCCAAAAATATTTGTTGAGTACGGAATGACTAATGGGCCACATGAAAACTGTGTGTTCCAAAGCATTCTGAGAAGCCACTTCATTCCAAATAAATGAACTAAATTCCTTTTAATTGACTTTTCTTCCAATTGACTACCACAGGCACAGACAGCCTCTATGCATGATCAAAATCATTTGCTCACATTTTTAGGTACATGCAGTTGTTCTCAGTTACACTTTTATCCCCTACCATCGTGGTATACATGCAAGAAGGCTAGTGTTCCCACTGGACAGCAGGAAAATCAAGGTGCAGCTTAAGGTTAACTCACTTCAGAATGAATTGATAAACTCCAATGCAGAACCTACTTCATTCAGAGTTCCCTTAAAGGAGTTTATGGGATTAAAGCAATGAATGCATGGAACAAGGCTGATAAGGCATGCTTATATAATAAGACCTCAAAACATTAACCATTACTATAATCATCTTTGTTCAAGATTTCCTTTTAATTTAACATAGATTTGGGGCTGGAGAAATGGCTCATCAGTTAACAGAACATGCTGTTCTTCCAGAGAACCCAAGTTCAGTCCCTAGCATCCACTTTAGGCAGCCTGTAACTCCAGCTCCAGGGAATCCATTGCCCTCTTCTGGCCTTCAGACACTCCCCAACACAAAATACATTCACACAAATGCACATATGCACATAAATAAAATAAAGATCTTTTAAAAATAAATACAGTATTTGGTTCAATGATTACAAATAAATTTTCCAACTGCTTACTCGGCAGTTAGTCCTTGTTTTCCCTTCTTGTATTTATTTAGCATCTTGCCAGGATTTAGGAATTGTAGCTTAAGCTAGAGTCCCTCTATTCCAAAGGTTTTTAACCTTTCTGGGTATTGTGTACCACAAACACCTGTAGCAAGCTGGTGAAACCTTGAGGCCTATTCCCAGAACATTTTCTTTTCTTTCCTTTTTTTCTTTCTTTCCTTTCCTTTCCTCTCTCTCTCTCTCTCTCTCTCTCTCTCTCTCTCTCTCTCTCTCTCTCTGTTTTGTAGTGGCACTGGGTGATCAACCAGGGCCTTTCACATGCTAGACAAGTGACCTACCATTCAGCTATACCCTCAATCCCTTGAACAATATTTTTAAATGCATCATACAAAATACATTAGCATAAAAAAGGAGAAATTACACTATTGTACAGTTTAGCAAACTATTTCAAAAAGTTAATATGTAATGTAGTAATATGTGTGCTTTTCTATTAATGCTTTTATGGTAGTGAGCATAATTATAATTTTGAAGTAGAGGTATGTATAAAATATCTTAAGGGAATTATAAAATCTGAGGTGATATTTAAATATGATTTCTGTTGGTGATGAAATCAAAGATATTATTAACTCCATTCTGGACTGTTATTTACACTGATAATTGTAGAAACGGTTCATTTTGCTTAGAGATGAGTTTAAGTCCTATTGGTTTTCAGTCCCACACTCTCTAAGGAATCCTGGAATCCAGGCTAATAACCTATGTCCTATACTCTGGGCATATGAATGGTGTATGTATGAATGCCATGAACATGACACTTTCTTGAATTGTTTCCTGCCCCATGCACCCCCAAAGCCCTGACCTGTCCACGTAGGGAGGTGAGAAGTGGAACTCAGTGACTTCCTGAATTTACTTCCTCCTGCTTCAAGAGGAAGACAGGGATATTTGCAGTACCTTGGTCTCAAATATTCAGTCTGGTTTTCTTTCCTTCTAGAAAACAGGAGCAGCCAGACTCTAGCTCAAAGGAGCAGCATTCCATATGGCCCCCTCCTCACCAAGAAAACAGCAATGACCCAGACATTTACAATGTCATCAGAAAGCAAAGTGAAGCTGACTTAGCTGAGCCCCGGCCAGACCTGAAGAATATCACATTCCGGGTGTGTTCTGAAGAAGCCACTCCTGATGACATGTCCTGTGACTATGACAACGTGGCTGTGAACCCTTCAGAAAGTGGGTTTGTTACACTGGCAAGTGTGGAGAGTGGATTTGTAACCAATGACATTTATGAGTTCTCCCCTGACAGAGTAGGGAAGAGCAAAGAGAGTGGATGGGTGGAAAATGAAATCTATTCTTACTAAGATATATGAAAACACATGAACTAGCAAGAGTGAAAAAGGAAAAGCAAAAGTCTGCTGTTCTGTGAGGAAATAGAAAGCCGATGAAAATGCTTAGATCAGGTCAAAAGGACAAGTGCAAGTGCAGGATCCCCACAAGTCCCTGCTGGGCCCTCAAGTTCTGGCTGCACCCTTATCCCAGCCCTCACCCAACTCAGCTTTGTGAGAAGGCACCTTGCCAGGGTCTGCCATACAGTAGGCCCTCAATAAATGTCAGCTGACTCTTCATATCTGACATTCAAGGGACAGTGCTTTCACTGACAATTGTGACTGAACAGCTTGGAAAGCCCAATTCTAGCTTGTTTTCCTTGCTCTATACAGAAGCACACACAATCACAGAGATAGAAACTGCGGAATCTTTCCAAAGCCTACATATGGCAGCCCCAGGCTGACCTGCACATCAGCAGTTCCCATATCTGCTTTCCCCCGCCCCCAAAGAATAAAATCCAATAAAAAGCAGGAAGCAGAATGTTAGTCAGCCTGTGTCTACAGCCCTTCCTCTGCCGTGGCCTCGGGGGACCTTTTTTTTTTTTTTTTTTTTTCCCCCCTCTCCCCCCCTTCCACATTGTGAAAAACCCAATTTTAATTGTCTTTAAAAATAAAAATAAAATTTTTTTTTTTTCTCCTCGAGACAGGGTCTCCCTGTAGCCCCAGCTGTCCTGGCACTCAATATGTAGACCAGGCTGGCCTTCCTTTTTTTTTTTTTTTTTTTTTTCCCCTCTCTCCCTGCATCTAAACTTGGAAAAATCCAACTTGGAATTGCTTTAGAAAGTAAAAATGAAATCTGTGTCTCTGCTCCTGGGCTTCTTGTGCTCCTGGCTCTAACGGTACATGTTGTTCTGTTTGTATGTTTATTTTACTGCAGCATCAACACATTACTAATAATGGTAATAGTTCTTTTGCTTTAGGGACTTGACTATTTCCAGAACAAAGTTTCTTGGCCTAGCATTAGTCACGTACACTTAGAAGGTCTGAAAGCCACTGTTTAAATCATCAGCAAACTCTCTGTATCAGCTCAATAACATTTTAATCTCTCTGCTTATACCTTTCTTCTTAATATTTCATATATGGAGCCCCATATTGAACAGTTAACCAATCTGCTCAATGCAGTGTTGAAACCACTGCCTGACTACTGCCGAATTGGAACAGAGAACAGAGTGGATAACAAAATAATAATTTCTGCTTTCTCTGGGGTTGTTTTGTGAAGTTACAGCATTTTGAGCCAAACCAGTGAGCACACAGTCCCAAGTCCTGGTTCGCTGCTCTGATCTGTCTGGGTTCCCACCTTGTTTCACAATTCTGACTCTATAATCCACTCCTCTCTCCTTCACTGTGCCCTCAGCTCTGGACCCTAGTAGACAGCAGATCCATGAAGGTAGCAATCCTACTTGATGCTTGCTGCAACTCAAGACAGCGCACTGCAGTGTTAGAAACCAATGTCTATTGAAAATGTACAACAAATCTTTCAGACTAATATAAAATTGCCCGAATATTTCTGCTGAAAAGTTTATAGGACCTGCTTTTCACAGTCTTACTGTGTGAAGAAGGTGATTGAGGGCTGGAGAGATGGCTCAGTGGTTAAGAGCACTGGTTGCTCTTGCAGAGGACCTGGGTTCGATTCCCAGCACCCACATGGTGACTAACAACCATCTGTAACTCCAGTTCCAGGGGACCTGACACCATCTTCTGACTTCCATGGGCATTGCACAACACGGGTGCACTTACACACATGCAGACAATACACTCATACACAAAAAAATAATAAAAAAATTATTTTTAAAAAGGTGATTTATTTCAGTTTGAAAAGAACTCTTATTGCCTAGGAAGAAGGTAGCATACTAACAAATAAAAAGAAGCTGGTGAACTGTGTTAACAACTTTAATTATGTCACTAAAGTTTACAGTGATTCATTCTTACTCTATGAAGGAAGCAAGGTTATGGTTAGAGGGGCCTTTGGCTTCAGCACCCTCGTTTTACCATTGGGTGTCATCTCTGCTGGGGTTCGCAGACCCCGTCCTCCTGTGTTTGCACTCAGCCAGTCTTAGTCCACATTTTAATTACTCGGCTTCCCTTTCCTTTTCCACGTGTCCTAGCATGAGCTTACCAAGCTCCGTTTCTATCTCCAATAACCACTTATTTAGCAAACATTTGCTAAATGTCATTTGGTGCTCTTAAATTGAACATCAAGTTTATTCATTCAGCTAGTATTACCTGGAAATTTGGTAAGCCTGTTTCACCATTTAAAATGATCATTTCTCTACAGCTAGGGATGCAGCTTAGCAGTAGAGTACTTGCCTAGCATGCACAGGACCTTGAATCCCAAGCATCTCAACAAAATAAAATGATAAAATAAAATGGTTTGTCAACTTTTCTCCCTTTGTGACATAAATACAGATGATAGAGATGTGTCAGAAAAGCTCTTGAGTCCGTGCATTCAACAAGCACCCCTTGACCAACCACCATGTGCTGTGGCCCATGACTGAATTTCAGGCTGAGGCTTGCAGAAATCGGGTTATAGGCTATGCACATCTCTGGACATGATAGTCATAAGACTCTTTTCTCATTCTAATCTAACCTGTTTGAAAAGTTTTACACACCTCCTTTTTGTGTAGAACTGTGCTAGGCATACATCAGTGATACAGACACGGGCTCTTTCTTGGGAAGCTTACATTCTCATGGGGTAAAAAGGTTCATCAGAGCATGAATGAGTAAAAGAAACTTCACTGTAATTGTGTTATTATTTGTTTTGTTTTTTAGGGTTTTGGAGACAAGGTCTCACCTAGCCCATACTGGCCTTGAATCCACTATGTGATAGAAAAGGGCCTTGAAGTCTTGATCCTCCTGCCTCTACCTCCTAAGTGCTGGGGCACAGCTATGTGCCACCATGCTCAGCTATAATTTGTTTCTTTAGAATTATGAACAGCTCTGTCTCTTGTCTCTCTTCCCTCTCCATCCCCATCTCTCTGTTCCTGAACGTTGGAATGCGAAAGTCAAAGGAAGGTAGGCTCAGTAGCTGATGGAGGGTAGCTTAGTATCTCTGAGTAAGGTGCCAGACCTAGGCAGGGTGAGGAATGTGTGAGACTTGGTCCTGGTGTTGCCTGAATTGGGGAGGAGGTCACCCACATGGCAATAGATGGCAGCATCCATGGGGGATTGGCTACAAGCAGGGAGACTGGTGAAATAAGTCAGCATACTAAGGATAAGGAGAGCCAGGCTTTCATCATCATAGAAGGCAGCCACAAACACAGAAAGGGAGAAAACTGGAATAGACCCTACGGCGTTAGATGGAAATCAGAAACAGTCGTGCAGTGGTGTCACTTTTGGGCTTTCAAAATTGAGTATATGTGCAAATGTAAATATATATGCATATATATATATATATCACCTATATAGCATGATTTGTGTCCCCCAGTGTCCTTCAACGTAGATCCATGCACTGAACCTACCAAGAGTTCCAATATATATATATATATATATCCTCCACTAAAATAAACCAGGACTCCTCTAAAACTTGGCTGCTGCCACAGCAGGAGCAAAAAAAATACATATTTGTTTGGGCACTGAGAAGTGAGGTAATGGGTACCTAAACATAGATAGAAGTAACAGGTTCTATTCTTCCACACAATACTAGGGGGCCTGCAGTTCACGATAGCCTGTCACATACTAATGAATAAATACAAGAGAGGAGCTCAAGCTCAGCAAACAAAGTAATGATAAGAATATGGAAATATTTATTGTTTTGAGTTGTTCAGTATATGTCATACACTTGTACTGATAAATCACAGCATTTCCCATAAATATACACAGTTGTTACTTGCTAATTTTTTTTATTTAAAGAGATGGGGAGTGATGGAGGGGTTACTTGGGAAACTGTACTACAACAAGCAAGAATTATGGGACTATCACAGAAGCCTACTAACGGTGGCCCATTTTGGTCAAATGTGGGATAATTTGGACATCAAATCCATAATAGCACTACAATCAGTAAAATCAATAAAGGACTGTGACCCATTATATAAAACAGGAAACCATGGTATACACAGATATAAAATAAATGAGCAAATTAAAATTTTGAAGAGAAATTGGATATTTACACGGTTTCAAAGTGCTTCTCCCATAAAATGATAATTAATTACAAAGGGGACACTGCAAGCAGACACCACCTCAATCAAGCTATCAATGTAATGGGCACCAACATTATATATCTCATATTGTGATACAGTGAGAAGAACACGGCTTCACGTCTGTACTATTTCAGTCAAGCTACATAAGCTAACCATGAGGAAGCATTATACAAAAACAAGCTGATGGACCATTTACAAAATAACTGGACTATAAACTGGAAGTCTCACGATGAAGAAAGTGAAAGCAAGATGGGGTGGAGGCTGCTGCCTTTAAAGGACAGTAAGAGTGACAGTAGCTGAAAGTACTACTTGATTCTGAAACAATCTTTTTTTTCTATAAAGGAAAATATGGGAAGATTTGGCAAAACATGAACAAAATCTGAGGACTGAATAGTAATAATGCTTTAATGCTGATTTCCTGATTTTTATGTTGCATTGAAAATGTCCGTTTGTAGGAAACACATATTAGAGTAATAAAGGATGATGGACCATCAGGTTGATAGTTTGCTTTCATGATCTGAGGGTGGGGAATGCTCTTTGTACTATTCTTGCAACCTCTTCTCTTAGTTGGAAATTCTTCAAGGAAAACCATTTGCAAACACTGGGACTATCGTTGTGGATAACATATTACTCATACTGCACCCTCCATCGAGCTCAATACACATGTTGCGGCTGAAAGCACCTGACAAAAATGAATCTACGATAGAGCATCCAGTCCCAGGTTTGGGCCCAGCTCCTAAATCTTATCTTTGCCTTAGCAGGCTACAGGGAGCTGGGATGAGTCACCCCCTGCAAAAGCTAATTCAGAGATTCCATTCCTCCACGATTTCCCATTTTCCCCTCCAGAAATGCAAATAAGTTATGTAATCTAGGATAAACTCCAAAGTGTCTTTTCGCTCTAAAGCGATCTTATTTCAGTATATTTTGTCTAACTTATAGAGCATGTCACACCCTTCTGGACTTGTAGTAAGACATACACAGTGATGAAGACAGAGGTAGAAATATGAAGGTATAGGAAACCACACCCTCAGATGAAGAAGCCAGTTATTCTGCACAGACCCTCCTTTCTTTCTTCCAAAGAACAGCGAACAGTTACTAATTGTTAAGTAATCTTGAGTTATTAGTGAAGCCTGAGTTTAAACAGCATAAAAAGTAATGAGGATAAATCATCAGATCAAGGACACAAATGGGAATAAATTTTTCAAAATATAATAAGAGCAGGTATAAACTTTCAAAGAAATAAGTTTATTAAATATAGATTACCCTACTGAATAGGTACTTGAAAGTTTTCTGTAATCAGTTACATATTTTAATCAGAAAAATTTATAAACCTTATAGCC